AGGCTTGGGGTGGATTAATGATTGTGCATTGAGCATTGACTCCCCTATACAGAATTTTATTGTTGTTAACAACCATTTGATCAATAAATATGAGAGATGCCCTCTAAAAAAATAAATGTACAGACTCCCAGTTGTAAAATAAATAAGTAACCGGGATGTAATGTATAGCATAGGAAAATAGTCAAAATATTGTAACAACTTTGTATGGTGATAGCTGGTAGCTAGAATTATCATGTATATAAATGTTGAATCACTGTGTTGTACACCTGAAACTAATGTAATACTATGTGTCAACTGCCATTCAATAAAAAAAATTATGAAGTACAGTGTATCTATTTTTTTGTTACCTTTTCATTTGGTGTCACATCCAAGAAATCATTGCTAAACACAGTGTTGTGATTATGTTGTACTATGTTTTCTTGCAAGAGTTGTACTGTTTTGGGTCTTACATTTAGGTCTTTGATCCATTCTGAGAAAATTTTTGTTCATTTTTATGATTCTTAATTAATTTTTATTTATTTATTGAAATACAGGTGATATACAATATTATATTGGTTTCAAGTACATATCATAGTGATTCAACAGTCATCTACATTATTCAATGCTCATCCCAAAAGTTGTAGTTGCTACCTGTCAACATAGAAAGATATTAAAATATTATTGACTATATCTTCTATGCTATACTTTTATCCCCATAAATGATTTATATTATAATTGAGATTTTTTGCCTTTTTATCCCTTTCACCCATTTCACCCACCCAACCTGAACACTCCCCCATGGTAATCACCAGTCTCCTTTCATTCTGAGTTAATTTTTATATATGGTGTTAGGCAAGAGTCCAACTTCATTCTTTTGCATGTGGAAATCCAGTATTCCCAGCACAGTTTGTTTAAAAGACTGTCCTCAAATATGTGAAGGTCTATTTCTGGGCTCTCTGCTCTATTCCATTTTTCTATATATCTGTCTTTATGCTAGTACCACATTGTTTTATCTCTGTAGCTTTGTAACAAGTTTTGAAATTTTGAAGTGTGAGTCTTCTAGTTCTTTTCTTTTTCAAGATTGTTTTGGTTATTTGAGGTCCCTTAAGATTCCATAGGAATTTTATGATGGGTTGTCTATTTCTGCAAAAGAATCACTGGGATTTCATTGGATCTGTACATTGCTTTGGCCCATCAAGGGCAACTTCCTTACTATCTAACAGTCTAACTTAACTTGGTCATTATGTTATTTCAAACACAATCTAAAGGTTCTTTTTTTCTCCCTTCTTCCTCCTCTGCTCTTTATACATTAGATGTCATATTCTGTACTCTTTGTGTATCCCTTGACTGACTTTGTGGGTAGTTCATTTAATTTTGCATTTGCTTAGTAATTAATTGGTCTACTTCCTTTACTGTGATTTTATTTTCTTTGGTGACACCTATTTAGCCATAGGAGAACTTCTATCTACAGAAATCCCTTTAAAATACACTGTAGAGATGGTTTGTGGGAGGTAAATTCACTCAATTTTTGCTTATTTGGAAATTGTTAAATCCCTCTTTCAAATTTAAATGATATTCTTGCTGAGTAGATATTCTTGGTTGCTCATCCCCCTTCTGTTTCATTGCATTAAATATGCCACTCTCTTCTGGCCTGTAAGGTTTCTTCTGAGAAGTCTGCTGATAACCTGATGGACTTTCCTTTACACATGATCTTTTTTTCTCTCTGGCTGCTTTTAATACTCTTTCCTTTTCTTTGATCTTTGCCATTTAAATTATTATGTCTTATGGTCCCTTGTGTTGGGAGCTCTCTGCATTTACATGACCTGAGAGACTTCCTTCCCCAGATTGGGAAAGTTTTCAGCAATTATTTTCTCAAATAGACTTTAGATCCCTTTTTCTCTCTCTTCTTCTTCTGGTACCTGTACAATATGAATATTGTTCAGTTTGGGTTGGTTGCACAGTTCTCTTATTTTTTCTTTCTGTGCCTCAGTTTCTTTGGTTTACTGGTCTCTAATTTCTATTTCATTTACAGTCTCCTCTACCTCATCTAATCTACTTTTAAATTCCTCCATTGTGTGTTTCATTTCAAATACTGTATTTTTCAAATTTTCCATCTCTGTTGAAGTCCTCCCTGAGGTCTTACATATTTTTTGGGTATTTCTGTGAGCATGTTTATGTTTTTATTTTGAAAACTTTATCAGAAAGATTGGTGATTGCTGTTTCACTTTGCTCTATTTCTGGAATCTGCTGAATTTTTGTTTGTACACATTTTTTTGCTGATTCATTTTTCCAGTGATTCCTGTGGAATAATAACTGTGAAGGTGGTGCCCTCTAGTGCCCAGATGCTCTACTCTCTCCATCTGCTGAGCACCTGGAGCAATGGTGGGGATAGCAGGTCAACAGCACCAGTGCCTGCCAGGAGGAAAGAGCTCTTTCCTGCTTCCTGGCTGCATTGCCTGCCTCAACTCTCAGGGCCAGTGGGCTGACCATGCAGGGAGTAGCCTCTGCATTATGCCCTTGTTGCTGCCCTACACATTACAATCCTCCAGCTGGCCTGGAACAATGGCTGGGGCAGCAGGTGTGTGGACTGTTGACTGCCAGGGGGAAGGAGCAGCAGGCTGAATGTCTCATTGGGGAACTTGGGGCTGTGTTGCCAGCCAGGGGGATCGAGCATTTGAAGTTCCTGAAAGTTCCCAACCTGCTGGGATGACTGTGCTAGGGTGATTTTTCCCACCTGCACTATTTCCTGAGCATCAAGCTCTGTGTAATCATTGCCCCTTTAGCACCCCTCTCATTGTTGTGAAGTCTTTCAAAGTGCCTGCTTTTCTTTTGTCCCAGAGTGGCCCATTATGTGTACCTGTTCTCCACAAGTGGCTGGAATCTCAGTCTCTCTGAGTATTCTGCCTGTCTTCGCTTTGGAACCCCTCTAATCTCTAGAGCACCATGTAATGTGGGTTTGTGCTCCTGGAACAGATCTCCATGGCTGGGTGTTTAGCAGGCCTGGACTTCTACTCCCTCCTTGCTCTGTTTCTCTTCCTCCTGCCTGTGAGCTGGGTTTTGGGGGAGGGCTTGGGTCCTGCTGGAGCATGGCTTTGCTACTTTACCCTTTTCTGTGAGGTCTTCTCTTTTCCCCAGATATAGGCAGTCTGTTCTGCAGTCTTCGGATCACTCCTTCAGGATTAGTTGGTTTTTGCTGTATTTTCATGTTATATGTAGTTTTTAGAGGAGCTTTCTGCCTCACTTCTCACGCTGCCAAATTTTTGTATCTTAATAGCTATATAGTTTTCTTTTGAAATGTCTTTGACTTTGGTATCAGGGTAATGCTGGCCCCATAGAATGATTTTGGAAGTACTCCTTCCTCTTAAATTTTTTTTTGAAAAATTTGAGAAGTACTGGCATTATTTCCTTAAATGTTTACTAAAAGTCACCAGGGAAGTCATCAGGTCCTGGGATTTTCTTTGTTAGGAGATTTTTATATAGCGATTCAACTTCCTTACTAGTTACAGATGTATTCAGATTTTCTAATTCTTTATGATTTAGTCTTGTTAGGATTTCTGTTTTAGGCATTTGTTTATTTCATCTAGGTTATCCAATTTGTTGACATACAATTTTTCATACTGCTCTCATAATCTTTTTCATTTCTGAAAAGTCCTTAGTAATGTTCCCACATTTATTTCTGATTTTATTTGAGTCATCCTTTTTCTTAGTCCCTATAGCTACAGATTTGTCATTTCTGTTGATTTTTCAAAGAATCAACATTTGTTTTCACTAATTTTATTTATTGCTTTTCAATTCTCTTTTTTATTTACCACTGCTCTAATCTTTATTACCGTCTTCCTTCTTCTAGCTAAATTTGGATTGTTAATTTGATTTTTTTTGTGTATATAGTTATAAATTTGCCCCTTAGTACTGCTTTCATTGCATCTCATATTTTAGTATATTGCATTTTCATTTTAATTTGCATTTGAATATTTCTAATTTCCTTTCTGGTTTCTTCTTTGATTCATTGGTTGTTTAAAATTGTGTTGTTTAATTTCTAAAATTTTGTGAGTTTTCTTTTTCTGTTATTAGTTTCTATCTTCATTCCATAGTGTTGGGGGAAATGCTTTGTATGATATCTTTTAAAATCTATTAAGACTTAATTTGCAGCCTAGTATATGTCCTATCCTGGAAAGTATCCCATGTGCACGTAAAAAAATGTGCATTTTGTTGTTGTTGGGAGAGTATTCTGTATATATTAGATCTAGTTGTTTTTTTCTGTTACGTCTTCTATTTCCTTACTTATCGTCTGTCTAGTTGTTGTATCCATTATTGTAAGTGGGGTATTGGTCCCTAGTCTTTGAGAAGACGTGGAGTATTAGGTATGGAAATTAAGTAGAAACCAAGCCAGAAACTCTGAACTAGAGTTAGAGGCAGCATAAGTGTTCAGGATATTGTCTTGGTATTTCTGGTTGGTCTCTAAGGTGACCAAAGCTAGGTTAGAGGTAGTGGTTAGTAGAGCAAAGGTAAGTCCAGAACTAGATTACTTAGTTCAGGGCCTGGATAGAGGACATAATAATTTTATATCTTCAGAATTGGTTTAGGATTGAAGCATGATCAGATATTTAGATGGATCCAACCAGGAAATGTAGCAATGGAAGTGAGGCAATAAAGGTAGGGAAAATAGGATTGGATCTGACAGTGGAGTGGGAGGAAGCACATTCTTCAGGTACTGGCTCTGTTACTAATCAGTCATTTGAATTTGCACAGATGAATTCCACCTTTCTGAGCAGCATTTTCCTCATCTATGCAATGAAGATTTCCTGTGCCCTGTATTCTTTGGAATGATGTTTAATGAGATAATAGATTTTAAAGTGTTTTTCTTATAACTGAAACTTGCAATATACTTGAAAAGGATTATTCTTATTTTTTCAGAGAGGTGTGATTTTTTTCACTTCGCTTTTCTTTCCTTCCTTCTTCTGTTTCCTTCCTCTCTGGTCATCCTGTTTTCATTCCCATTGTCTCTCCCTGCCATTTTGCAGGACCAGTTATCAGGGCTGAAGTAGGTGACACCATCCAGGTAACCTTCTACAACCGTGCCTCCCAGCCATTCAGCATACAGCCTCATGGGGTCTTTTATGAGAAAGACTACGAGGGAACTGTGTATAATGATGGTGAGCATGCAGGGTTTCTAAGCAATGTCACCTTTAGCTAAAAGCAGGTAGCTCTAGAGCACAGGTCAATAGGGGAGGGAAAGAGGGAGAAAAGGCAGAATTAGTTGCTGTGCATGTAGAGATGTGCTCATTAAGGGAAAACTTATTTTAAATATGTGTAAATATATTCTGATAATAACTGTAACATGTACATATGATGGAATTTTGAAAAGCGTGGAAAATTATAAAACAAATAAACATCATTCATATAAAATAAATAAACACCATTACATTTCCATATACATTTTAATATTTTTATGTGCTTATAAAAATGAATATATTTACAGATTTGTGGTCATATGATTTATATAATTTTGTATCATACTACTTTAACTTATCATTATATTATGTCCATTGTCCCAAGCCATCATAATGTTATAAACATTTTAAGTACTATATAATATTCTATCACATGGCTCTGCTATAATTTATTCATCTGGTTCTCTATTGTTTGCACATGTAGTTTTTTTCAATTTTTCAATATTGTAAATATGTTGTAGTGAATGGATGCATACATTTGTTTTGGATTACTGTATCAGGAAAGAATGCTGGAAGTGGGATTATTGGGTAATTAATTTCTTATTTTCTCTGAGAAAAATACTAATATACACTAATCTCAAGGCAACATATTTTTTAAAATAGTGAAAGCATAAAAGGCAATGTTACAGACAAATCTAGAATAAAATAACATTCTACAAGGCAATTTGTCTAGTCTCTTAAAGAAGTTAATGACACAAGGAAAAAAATTAAAGAGACAAAACAAAGGGCAACACATAAAACTCATCTGATTCTGTTTATAAAAGATAGCCTTAAGGTATATTTTGGAGATAATTGGAAATACTTTATATAGATTAGATATTACATGATTTTAGAGTATTTTCTTAGGTGTGGCCATGTTATTGTAGTCATATAGGGGATGCTTACTGATGTATACAGTAATAATATGTCATGATGCTTGTATTTTACTTCCAAATGATATAGCAAAAGCAAATAAAAATTGTGTGTGTGTAGATATACACATAAATATTGATGAACTAAAGATGGCAAAAGACAAATGATCAACTCCAGATGGTAGGGTAATTATTGTACTATCTTTTAAATATTTCTATATGTTTGAAAATTTAGTGAGAAAAAAATGAATTAATAAGACAAGATAGGAGGGCAGAGCAAAGATGGCGGCGTCAGTAGTACAGTGGTAATCTCTTCCCAAAAACATATATATTTTTGAAAATACAACAAATACAGCTATCCTTAAAAGAGAGACCAGAAGACACAGGACAACAGCCATACTATATCCACACCTGTGAGAACCCAGTGCCTGGTGAAAGGGGTAAGATACAAGCTGCAGTCTGGCGGGACCTGAGGACCCTCACCCCAGCTCCCAGCAGGAAGAGAGGAATTGGAACAGGGAGGGAGAGGGGGCCCAGGACTGCTAAACACCCAGCCCTAGCCATCTGCACGAAAGCGCAGACACACAGTGCATGCGTGGGGTGCTGGAAACTAGGGGAGCAGGACAGTAAGACTGTGAGTGGGTCCTACAGCTTGTGCTACTGGGAGAAAGAAAAGCGAGTGCTTTATGAAAGACCTCACAACTGGATGGAAGCATCCCGGGTCACAGTCCAGCAGTTGAAAATTCCACAGAACTCTGGACACACTAACCCCCTGGGCAACAGCTCTGAGAACCCTCACAGAGGTAAACAGCCAAACAGCCCACCGTCCATTACCCCTCCAGGGCCCCGCCATAGCAGAGCAGCAGCCTGAGGCTGGCCATGCCCACAACAAGGGAGCTTCCTCCATACTGGCCGGGCAAGATACAGAGTCCCAGTCTACATGCAATTGCCCAACAAAAGCCACTAGGGGTCCCAGTTGTCCCAGTAGAGAAAGGCCAGGAGCAAGTGGAAAAAGTCTTGGCTCTCCCAGCTGACAGATGAGTCAATAGCATAACACTGCACCTATCAACATGAAAAGGCAAAAAAACTTGATCCAGACAAGACTAACCCAGACATCTTTGACATCTTCTACATCTTCCCCTGAGAAGGAACCTGGGGAGATAGATTTAATCAATCTTCCTGAAAAGGAATTCAAAACAAAACTCATAACCATGCTGATAGGCAGCCAGAGAGAAGAAAAAAGGTCACCTACAAAGGAAAACCCATCAGGCTATCATCAGACTTCTCAACAGAAACTCTACAGGCCAGAAGAGAATGGTATTACATACTTAATACAATGAAACAGAAGGGCCTCGAACCAAGACTACTGTATCCAGCACGATTATCATTTAAATATGAAGGAGGGATTAAACAATTCCCACACAAGCAAAAGTTGAGGGAATTTGCCTCCCACAAACCACCTCTACAGGGAATTCTACAGGGACTTCTCTAGATGGGAGCACTCCTAAAAAGAGCACAGAACCAAACATCCAACATATGAAGAAGGGAAAAGGAGGAATAAGAAGGGAGAGAAATAGAGAATCATCACACCATGTTTATAATAGCTCAACAAGCAAGTTAAGTTAGACAGTAAGATAGTAAAGAAGCTAACCCTGAACCTTTGGTAACCAGAAACCTAAAGCCTGCAATGGCAATAAGTACATACCTTTCAATAATCACCCTAAATATAAATGGACTGAATGCACCAATCAAAAGACACAGAGTAATAGAATGGATAAAAAAGCAAGACCCATCCATATGCTGCTTACAAGATACTCACCAAAAACACAAATATATACACAGACTTAGAGTCAAGGGATGGAAAAAGATATTTCATGCAAACAACAGAGAGAAAAAAGCAGGGGTTGCAATACTAGTATCAGACAAAATAGACTTCAAAACTAAGAAAGTAACAAAAGATAAAGAAGGACATTACATAATGATAAAGGGCTCAGTCCAACAAGAGGATATAACCATTACAAATATATATGCACAAAATACAGGAGCACCAACATATGTGAAACAAATACTAACAGAATTAAAGGAGGAAATAGAATGCAATGCACTCATTTGGGAGACTTCAACACACTACGCACCCCAAAGGACAGATTCACCAGACAAAAAATAAGTAAGGACACAGAGGCACTGAATAACACACTAGAACAGATGGACTTAATAGACATCTACAGAACTCTACATCCAAAAACAACAGGATACACATTCTTTTCAAGTGCACATGGAACATTCTTGCTAATAGACCACATACTAGGCCACAAAAGGAACCTCAGTAAATTCCAAAATATTGAAATCCTACCAACCAACGTTTCAGACTGCAAGGCAGAAACTAGAAATAAACTGTACAAAGATAGCAAAAAGGCTCACAAACACATGGAGGCTTAACAACACACTCCTAAATAATCAATGGATCAATGACCAAATTAAGATGGACATACAGCAATATATGGAAACAAATGACAACAATAACACAAAGCCCCAACTACTGTGGGATACAGCAAAAGCAGTCTTAAAAGGAAAGTATTTAAAGAAGGAAGAACAATCCCAAATGAATAGTCTAATGTCACAATTATCAAAATTGGAAAAAGAAGAACAAATGAGGCCTAAGGTCAGCATAAGGAGGGACAGAATAAAGATCAGAGAAGAAATAAATAAAATTGAGAAGAATAAAACAATAGCAAAAATCAGTGAAACGAAGAGCTGGTACTTCGAGAAAACAAACAAAATAGATAAGCCTCTAGCCAGACTTATTGAGAAAAGAGAGTCAACACACATCAACAGAATCAAAAAGGAGAAAGGAAAAATCACGATGCACCCCACAGAAATACAAAGAATAATTAGAGAGTACTATGAAAACCTATATGCTAACAAGATGGGAAACATAGGAGAAATGGACAACTTCCTAGAAAAATACAACCTTCCAACACTGACCCAGAAAGAAACAGAAAATCTAAACAGACAAATTACCAGAAACAAAATTGAAACACTTATCAAAAACTACCAAAGAACAAAATCCCCGGGCCAGATGGATTTACCTTGGAATTTTATCAGACAGAGAAGACATAATACCCATTCTCCTTAAAGTTTTCCAAAAAATAGAAGAGGAGGGAATACTGGCAATCTCACTCTATGAAGACAACATCACCCTAATACCAAAACCAGACAAAGACAACACCAAAAAAGAAAACTACAGACCAATATCCCTGATGAACATAGATGCAAAAATACTCAACAAAATATTAACAAACCAAATTCAAAAATACATTAAAAGGATCATACACCATAACCAAGTGGGATTCATCCCAGAGATGCAAGGATGGTACAACATTCGAAAATCAATCAACATCATCCACATCTACAAAAAGAAAGACAAAAACCACATGTTCATCTCCATAGATGCTGGAAAACTATTCCACAAAATTCAACATCCATTCATGATAAAAACTCTCAACAAAATGGGTATAGAGGGAAAGTACCTCAACATAATAAAGGCAATATATGATAAACCCACAGTCAACATCAAACTGAACAGTGAGAAGCTGAAAGCTTTTCCTCTGAGATCGGGTACAAGACAGGGATGCCCACTCTCCCCACTGTTATTTAACATAGTACTGGAGGTCCTAGCCACGGCAATCAGACAAAACAAAGAAATACAAGGAATCCAGATTGGTAAAGAAGAAGTTAAACTGTCACTATTTGCAGATAACATGATATTGTACATAAAAAACCCTAAAGACTCCACTCTGAATGCTAGAGCTAATATCAGAATTCAGCAAAGTTTCAGG